GTCTGGTAACTTTCGTACCTCTGTGGCAGTTCTTTGCCTTGCGCCTCACTCTTCTCAAAGTTAGGCATCACCCTGTTGGTCATCTGGCTAATGACGTGCTCCCTGTCTTGTGACTTCCTTTCGTGGTCAGACTTTGTGCTCCTACGACGATTCTTCCACTTTGTCAAGTGCTGAAACACACGTTAATGCAACAGAAGGCACTGTACATGTGATAATAAATAAACAACCACGACTAAAATATGGTCCAAAGTTGCAGAACAAGTTCCTAATAGTACTATTTCTAAACATTAAACATTTTTCATCAACTCACATCCTGCCATAGAACTTCACCGTCTTTGACAGACACTCTGCTCATCTGTGTGTTCTCTTTGTTCCAGTCTCCTGCTGAGTCACAGTCCCGGTCCACATCATGGACGCCGTTGTCTTGAGGACATTTCTTCACAGAATAGACCATGGGGATATCACTGAGGGATTTGCTCCTGGTTTTGAGCACGAAGACAAACGGAACAATTAAAAAAAAAAAAAAATTAAATTAAAAAAAAAAATTAATAAAGTATTTCAAACACCAACATGGTCACTTCACAGCGCTGTGTCACTGAGCACACAGGACAGACATGGCAAAAGGTAAACAAACACGAGGAACGGTACGTGGGTCGAGGCGACGCCACATGTCCAATGTTCAAACTGAATTCTTAATCAAACGTGAGCAGCGGGGCATCCTGCCATCAAACAAACAAGCAGTTATAATGGCAACAACGGCAACAGTTGGTGCATCTAAGCAGACACATCTTTGACTTCAGCAGAAAACTGCGCTGCTGGGGAGGGGGGTATTTTAACACCTGATTGCACCATCCAGAAGTGGGAAAATACATTCATGACCAGATTTAAATACAGACAAATATAAGCAGCGTGACTTCAGCCCGTTGTTCTTTGGAACCTTGCTGCAGACCAAACCAAGCAGACACAAACCTGAAGCGGAAACAAAGCCACAAACGAGAGCACGAGAGTCTGCGACACATTTACTTAGGACTCACCAAATCCAGCCTGGGTTGACCTGAACTGGTCTCTCAGGCCTGACCGGGTTTTTATACAGTCTATAAAACCGGACAGATAAAAGACCCCCAAACAGGGAGACAAGAGCAGGGATCAGCCACTAAATACTGTATAGTAAAAGTACTGTAATACTAAACCAGTTTTAATGGTATGTAAACATTTCCCCTTTTTTAGTTCAGAACTTCAAATATCACACTATTACTATTATGATTAGCAATTATCAGCTCCTAAAATTAAATTATTTTTTTCAGCTGCAGCAGCCACAGTACCTGGTTATAGGACTGCTCCTGTCCCTTCCATTCACCACCTGTCCTTGTTTTCTGTGGTGTGACAGCAGGAAATAGCCGTTGTTTGAAGGAGGTGAAGACTTGGAACTCTCCACTCTGAAGACCTGCTCAGCTTCAGCATCACTTCCACATCCTGAAAAACAGAAAAGTAGTAACAGTTAATGACAAACTAATGAGTGAAACTGAAGACCTGGATGGTGGACGGTGGCTACAGTACCTTCGTTGTTTATGCCAGGACCATTAGAGTCCAGAAGTTCTGTGTCCACAGAGTTCTGTCCCATATACTGACGAGGATGCCAGGACAGTCGGTACTCTTCACCCTTTACCAAAATATTACTGCCCTCGTTCAAGGACTGAAGATCAAATTCAGGGTTAATAGATATGGTGTGTAGATAAAGAATCACATTAGGAAGAACCAACGGGTTCATCTTACCTTAGACAGGGCCAGACCTAAGAGTCCTTCAAAGGCTCTAAGGTTCAGCTGAGGACCAGAGTAGGAGGAGTCCAGGTGTGCCTTACGGCCCAACCAGTATATGGTGATCAGAACCTGACCAAGATCCAAAGACAAAATCATTCAACTGATGGAACTGAAACAGCTGTTGAAGATTTATCTATAATTATTACTGTTCTCATCGAATGAGAGTTAATCTTCTAAGCCCTGTCCAAACCTGGCCAGTGGGCCACATGTGTCCCAGACACAACCTCAGAGCGGCCCAGAACGGAATCACAATTGGCTAGTAATCCATCATAAATGGATGCTCATCCTAAATTTCCCAAAGGGAACTACCGAGGGATTAATAAAGTTCTATCCATCATTTCTACCATTTAACTGAGCAATTGACGCAACACTTAAGTCGTCAACATGTGACCCACAACTCATCCATTATATATGACCTGGAGAACACCATGGAGGGGCGGTGGGGAGCATGAGAACTCCACACAGAGAGACCATGTCTAAGAGCTGGGGCTCTAATGTGTGACCTCCATGCTGTAAGGCGAGGGCTTCAACCACCAATTACGCAATACAGACTATTATTATTGTAAATTCCTACAGTAGCACAGTGTAAAAAGTTGTGGATGTATTTGTATGGACTTGGGATTAGACCCGCCGTCAGTGATTTTAATGGAGCCTAATTGGTTATTTACAAGGGAAAACGTCAGAATGGCTGCAGAGAAAGGGAGCTCTTATGAACGCCTCATTACTGGCTTAGTGTTATCAGCTATTCAAAGGAGGCTCCACAGATATTCAAACAACATCATCATGGAGTCTGGGATATCTCAAATACCAGGGCTGAGTACAAACGTGTACAATAACCATCCTCACGTGTTTCAACCATGTGAAGCAACTGTTGGGAAGAGAAAAAGAGAAAAAAAAAGAAAAAAAGCACAAACTACACTTGGTGTAGAGTCAGATCATCAGGAGGAGACGTGAACATCATCAACTTTACTGCTTTAACCGTAGAGAAAATGACTCCAATTCCCTCATTAAGGCAAAATGAGAGTGAGGGGAATTAAAAGAAAAGTGAACTAATTTAAAACTAAAGTGTAAAAATGACAGAAGGACAAAGAGACAGTAACAATACTTGTCCTACTTACATTTTTCAGTCTTCTGTGGCTTTCATCATGTCTATAATTAGGAAAAAAGGGAAACAAATCATTCCGGAGATTACACTTGGACAGTTACATCCCAAAAAAGGAAAAGTGCTGTACTCTAAAGTGAGCCAGTTGTTGGGAAGATAAGACTTTCTTCTCATTTGCACTGGTCCACATATCATTTGCTTATCAGTGTTTGAAAGACTGCAGACGATGCTGTCTTTGAAAGGCACATAAAGCAGCAGCGCGTTAGGAAACGCTTCATAAATTCAAAGCAGCTCTGATATCCAGGCTCTGACTATAAACTCTACTGTAACTGCACTAAACAAAAACATGACATGAACTGTGTTTAACAGCAGTTTACAGTAGCTGAGTATCAGTGACATCATGATGAACCTAACACCCTGAAGACCCGGACGTGAGTGCACTTGGTACAAATACCTCTAGTATTGATACTAACAGTACTAGTACACCAGTACTGTTAAAACAAAAAAAAAGCAACTAATTCTGAACGTAGAATCAACCAATTCCTAGCTGCTTTTATTATGTGTGTATTATGAAATCAATCAGCAGTACCTGAGGGTCACGCGGCTGGACAGGTCCTGCAGATCTCCTGGATGAAACAGCTGGGATTCATTCAATCCCAGTTTTCCACAGGCTTTCAGGAAAAGGTTGACGTTGTCCTACCGGTCCAGACCACAAGGGGAACAGAACCAGGCAGTGATAGTGATAAATTCAATGATATAAACAAGACAACTCTGATACAAGGATCGGTCATAAAGTTTTCAAGACAGGTGTTATCAACAGTTCATTGTTATAGAGATCAGTGGATTTTATAGAAACCTAGACCAGAAGTGTAATGCTAATACAATTTATTAACATAATTCAAACAAGTTTGTTGAGCTAGATTAAAAGGCCAAACGTGCTACATCCGGCCCCTGGGCTGCAGTTTGCCCATGCCTGACCTAAACCAACCTAGAGCACAAAAACAAAACAAAAATACTCAGGGCTGGTGAGTATCTGCAGCTGGTGTTTCTCACATCAATGTGTGCTGGTGAAAGATGTAGCGCCCACTATTGGCTACTCTCATCTACTCTCTTGCTGCTCACACAGACACTTTGATTTGATCTTTTTCCACACTTGCCCTAGGTAATTTACATAAAGAATAAAACAGCCTGATGTGAAACATGAGAATTTGGATTTAGACCGGGGTCCAAATTAAATTCAATATCTGAATGATGACAGAGACTGCAGTTTCACAACCACACCACTGTCTCTCGCCAGCTTTGACAGGAAACCACATGATGTGCTCTAACTTCCTGACATGCAGTTGTTTTGGTTGACTACACTTCTACCTGAGCTGATAAGACACAGAACACAGATATGGTAACAGTACTCACCAGGCCAGCAATAGGCGTCGACAGCCTGTTCACCTTTTTAATGATGCCAGGCTTCAGTCGATTGATTAAACTGCAAACCCAAACAACATAATTAATGTCCTAGAGTTGGTCGTGTTCTTTCTAAAGTTTTCTTCAAGGGTTTACAGACTCAAATGTAGAATGTATTCATTTTATATTTCGACCGATGCAAATTGTCAGAGATTTGCATGGATTTAAAGGCGATTCACGATGCATCGTTACATCCCTGGTACTAAGTGTTGGATTAGGTTGATTAGGTCTGAGTGACGTATCTTGAGCTCGTCCGCTTTAACAAATGGTCTAGAGAGAAGAAGTAACGACCTCCAGTACTGTTCCAGCAGGCCTTGTTGGACTCATTAACAGTTGCTGCATTAAAAGAAATGATGTTTCACGACAAATAACTGGTTCTGATTTAATTATAGAGATTGAAATGCACTCATTACAAACTCATTACACAAATATCTTGGCAATAATCTTCCTCTTGTTTTCGGATTAATTTCCCTCTGTAGCAGGTTGAACAGCTTCATTTAATAAATGATCATTTCTCCAGCCTCTCAGTTTTACCTCTTCTCTAGATTCTCTTCTTTATTTGTTTGTTTGATGTTTTCTGGTCTTAATTTGTTTATTAGGGCAGTTACGTTCAGGTGGTGTTGGTCTGGGTTTAAAGATGGACAATTATAAATAACTTACTTTCTAGAAAAGTCAAGAAAAATGACTCACTCGCACAGTAGAACTCCGTTGTCTAAGGCAGCACGAAAATCACTGCACATAAAGGATTTTTCTGTCACCTCCTGTGAAAAAAAAGAAATTCAAAAAGGTTCAAAAACTACTATTACCATGTTTCTGTCACAGCTTTACCAATAAAACACCATCAACTGACTGGACAAATCAAACGGTGAAAATTATAAATTAAAATCACTATCTTTGATCAAAACAAAAACAACAAAAGAGTTTTAACACAGTCCATCTTAGTGGAAGAGCTTTGTAATGAACGTGAACACACACACACTCTCTCACACACACAGGCATTCACAGTTCAGCTTCAACACCAACCCCAGGCCCCACAGGACTATTCTTCTCACTAATTAGGCCTCCAGGAATTCATAATTACAATCATTTTGGGTGAAAGTGGGCAGTGAACATGGAAGCCGTGTTTTTCCCCCCCTCTTTTTTTACTCCATGTTTAATAACTCACTTCAGTTGATCCTCTCAGTATTCTTTAAAACAAAAATAATAAAGAAAAATAATAATAAAAACTAAATGTTTGGATGGCTGAAAAAAAAGCAGCAAAAACGTAAAACGTATGTTTTTACATGCCGACAAAGATCAGTTGTGCACATGATCTCCAGTATCATTATGTTGTTTTGCTGTTAGCAGGCAAGCAGAAAGTGTAGTGTGACCTGGTTATTTTATGGATCAACCATGGATTTTTTTTTGTTCTTTTTCATAATAACCACAAACATCTACAGTAAATGATACTACAGGGATCATAGTTTTCATAGTCACGAAAATATCAAAGACTGGCAGTGAATATAAAGCAACTGTCGGTGGACTGAAGATGAGATAATTTTTTCCGAGTTATATAACAGAACTGTAGCAAAGCAGAGGAAACCTGTCTTCAGGGAGACGTACATTAACATCAACTGTTTACACAACACACTCAGCAACTCAGTGTCAAGTACCAAGTCGACATCAACATTCGTTAAGTGAGACGCAGTCATTATACAAGACCTGAATCCACAGGATTTAATTATGTTTGTTTTAACTAAACAAGTGTTAAAAATGGAGATCGCAAATTCCGATTTTTTGGTAAGTGCCAATTACTCTTTGAAGATTCTCATTCCCTTTAGTTTTTAGTTAAGAATGATCCTTGTAACATTTTTGTAGTGTAATACGTCTCCAAAATGCCATTTATTGCACAACTTATAGCAGCGGTTCCCAAAATAGGATGCATAGAGCTGATTTGTAGACAAATGACGAACAGGGTAACTGTGGCAACACGTCTCTGAGAAGGAACTCCACCTCATTAAAAAAAATATCCTATTCTTTTACACACTATGAAGCTTTTTATGTAATTTTATTTACAAAAACTTTAACCAGAATAACAAAGAACAAATAATCTGTTCTATCATCCTTTCATTTATGGTAACGTTTCTAACAAACCACAGAGCATTATGGGAAATTCTTCCCCCGACTCCAACATGCTGCAGTTCTGGAGAACATTCTGGAGAAAATTTTGGATTTTTATGAATTTACTTTTTGTTTGGGATTTTCAACGAATATCATTGAACAGATATGAGATAAAAGTAAATTTAAATCAAATATAATTGTCAAATTTTATATCATTCAGTATTGAAAACAATATTCTTCTTAAAAACATGTAAACCCAATAAAGGCGGCGGTGCATTGTGTTTAATCGTCATTTATCATATTTAAAGATTAATCTTAAAACATTTTTTTAAAACCACATTAAAAAAAAGACAAACCAGGAGCCAAAGTGATAAAACTTTTCCAATTGTTTACCTCGATCCAGCGTCGAGCCTCGGTGAAGGCTTCAGCGGAGCTAACGCTGCTCTGTTGGCGCCACTCCATCTCTGAACAAACCAGAAAAAAACAGTGATGAACTGAGGCTGTCAGTCACATTTCAAACATTACGGTAAAAAAAATGTCTACACTGAGAGCCAACAAACAAAAACCAGGTCAATAAAAAGTCATTTAATATTCTTTTTCACGGTTCCAGCCTCTCCACTCACCTGCTGCTGCCGTTCAGCGGTGTGAATCCACTGATTGACTGGAGACCAGTTTACACAGAACTCTCCACTTCCTGCGTCAAAAAGCTTCTTCCCATCAGTGACAAGTGACGCTAATTGGTGGAAATTTAAATCCCCGCCCACTTCAGAGTGACTGCCAAACCTTTAAGTTAAACTTCAAAACTGTGAGCAGAGCCTCTAGCGGCTGAGCGATGCACAACACCGGGCTAAGTAAAAATCAAAAACTTTATTGATGTACAAGAGCAGATCAAAGAGAGTCCTAGAAAATGATTTGCTATAAATGTTTGTTATATTTGTATTGATATTTATACATTTATTTATTAATAAAATAATATATTTTATTATTATTATTCTGTTGTTAGTGTTTACATCTATATTGAATTTCTGTCAAAGTGGGTGGAACAATGCATCCTGTTTCCAAGTGGTTTCCCTCCTGAAGTCCATGGCTCATCGTGGATGTACAATCATCTGCACCAGTCATCAGCCCAGTGCTAAGATCCTTGAGCTGTTTGACAGAGTGTTAAGGTAATAAGAGACATCAAATTGACCTGCTCAAAAAGTCACTTTGTCACTCAGTCAGTACATATACTTGGCTTGGATCCTCACCTGGTTCCTTGATCTGAAGGACCCGGGTCTCCACTGTCCAACATACCATAACCCCGCTGACTTCAGTAAGGTTATGTGAATGTCTGTGTCCTTCCCAGTGAGTGTGATGTTCACATGCTTCTTCTCTCTGTCCCTAGTTATGCAAGTTGCCAGGGGAGTATGGAGACATCCTGTTTGCTGCTGCTGCTGCTAAGGTTAAACTGACAACTTTTCTTTTTTTTAAATGTTTGAAAAAAACAAGTTTATTTTTGCTGAATAAAAAAGACAACAGCAGTTTGATAAAAAATGTAAACAACTATAAAACATTGAATCATATACATGCTGTTTTGTTACGTTGTTGTACAAAAAAAAAATTGAAAAATCTTCCTCAAATCAATGGGACACTTCAGTTTCAGGGCTTCTTCTGAGCCAAAGCCTTATGCCTCTCTTTTTGGCTTTCTCCTTTAACTTGTAAAAGCTCTCGTCACTATCACGTCATCATCCATTGAAAAGTCCTCGCTTACCGCCTAATAAATATCTAAAACATCCGCCATTTTGTCTCCGTATGTCGCTACCACTGGACAGAGGCAAACATCCCTGTCAATAACACATTATCTTCAGCCTCTCTCTGTAGATAAGCCCCAGTGGATGAACAGGAAGACGATCATATGTCAAGATGTGCCGTCTTTGCATAGATGAAGAAAACCATCAGGACATATCTAAGAAAGAGGAACAAGAAAATCAGAGAATACATTATTTAGGATGAACGTTATCGTGATAAAAGTTTAATTTAGCCTGCTAACAAGCTAGCCAGCAAAATGGCCCCACTCACCTCTCCGCCTGGATGCCGAGGAGCGCTTATCCTTTGCAACTTTGCACCATATCCGCGATGATGTAGATTTCATTGACTCCTATGTTAAGATTGCTGCCACCGCTGAGGACTCTGCTGAAGCCGAGCTGGATACCACTGTTCCGCTTAGTACCCGGCTGGCTTGGAAGCTCCCACCTTGCTTGGAGCTCTCTTTATCCCCATTACACCTTCCTCCATCCTAGTAGAAACCGGCCTTCAGTCCTCGGCCCAGTTCTCCGTCAAGGTCGGCGCCAGGGCCCTACTGGGAAAATTAAACTGTCATCTTGACTTGGTTCTTTTCCAGATACTGCCTTCCAAATGTCAAGTAGCACTCTGTTGACATCAGAGTACCAGAGTAGGAGCTTGAACAGAATCTTGAAATCCTTGAGAAACATTTGATGTCAACAAAAGGAAATTAAGCAAAGCAAAGTATGTGAGTTTGATAATCATTTTACCTTTGCTGTGTTCGATCTCTTCTTGGTAAACAAAGCTTAGTTTTCATTCAAAGAAGTACTTTAAATATGTATTAATATTTATTCACATTTATTGAAATCTAATTTTACAAATAAATATCCTGAACATGAAGCATTTGTGTGGCTGTGTAATAAAAAAAAAACATTTTCATTTCTCAGGTTAAGAGACTCTTTTTAAGCTCCCGCAGGCCACACAAAAGAGCTTGGCGGGCCACATTTGGACCCAGGGCCTATAATTTGACATGTGATTTACAGTCATTTAAATCTCCTGCAGGGGTCAATAACAAGAGGCTAAAGACCAGCAAGTGGCTCAGGAACCACAGGTTGCAGACCACAAATCAAGAAGCAAGACTTGTTTTTTTTTATCTATAATAAAAAACAGCCTTCAGACGGCAACGATCTAATCTTCCTATAATCTGCCGCTAAATTCAGAGGGAAAATAACGCAGTACTTCAGAGTACACCAAGAGCCAATTTGTCAGAGCCAAGAGGCAAACAGTTGTGAGAACACGCTTAATTTGTTTTCATAGTCAAGAAAATTAGGAATTATCATAAAGACTAGCAGTGAATATAAAGCAGCTGTCGGCGGACTGAAGATGAGATCATTTGATCTGGTTTATATAACAGAGCTGTAGCAAAGCAGAGGAAACCTGTCTGCAGGGGACGTACATTAACATCATCTGTTTACACAACACACAGCAACTTGGGGCGGGCACACACACACACACACACACAGTCATCTTTCTGTAGAGCAGAAAATAAAGCTGTAAACTGACTGAGTGTCAACATCAACATTCCTTCAGTGAGACAGTCATTATACAAGAACTTAATTATAAGACCTAATTACCGTTGAGCACTAGTGTTAAAATGGAGACGCACCGACCGCAATATTCTATATTAGATTATAATAGAATAATAACATTCTATTATTTATTTATTGGTAAGTGTAACTTTAATCTTTAGTCAAGAATTATCATTGTAATATCTCCATAACGTCATTAACTGCACAACTTATACCAGCAATTCCCAAAATAGGGTATATAGAGCTAGAGTACATTTAAACAGAGTACATGCGGCGGCCAATCACGTGTTTAATCGCCTTTAACCATATCTAAAGATTAATCTTTAAACATTTTTAAAAAACACATCTAAAATAAGACAATAACCTGGAGCCAAAGTGATAAAAGTTTTCCAATTGTTTACCTCGATCCAGCGTCGAGCCTCGGTGAAGGCTTCAGCGGAGCTAATGCTGCTCTGTTGGCGCCACTCCATCTCTGAACAAACCAGAAAAAAACAGTGATGAACTGAGGCTGTCAGTCACATTTCAAACATTACGGTAAATAAAAGTCTAGACTGAGAGCCAACAAACAAAAAACATTTTCAATCGTAAGCACACGGTGCCTGATTGACTGGAGACCAGTTTACACACAACTCTCCACTTCCTGCGTCAAAGAGCTTCTTCCCGTCAGTGACAAGTGACGCTAATTGGTGGAAATTAAAATCCCCGCCCACTTTAGAGTGACAGCCAAAGTTTTAGATAAACTTCAAAACTGAGAACAGAGCCTCTAGCGGCTGAGCGGCGAACAGCAGCGGGCTAAAAAAATGAACAGAATCTACTTGTAACTACTTGTATCTTCCAGTGGACTCACCACCCGCAGGAAGGTTCGGGGGTTGGTACGGTGCAGTGTGATTTGGGTGGGGACTGTTGCCCCCGCGACCTGGTAACGGATAAGCGGATGAAAATGGATTGATTGATGGATGGTAACTACTTTATCAAAAAGTTTTTTTCTTCTTTTTTTACTTTTAGGGTAAAATCCTAATTTAAAAAAATGTCATAATTTTTCACCATCTAGCCAACATTAACATGCGAAATTAGGATTTTACCGAATAAATCCCCAATTTTATTTCTTGAAATAATTCTAAAATTGCTGTAATTTAATGGGAAACATGCAAAAAAGAAATTTTGAAGTGTGGAAAATTGATATGCAAGAGCAGAGCAAAGAGAGTCCTAAAAAAATATTTTCTACAAATTTTAGTTATATTTGTATTGAAATTTATAATTACATATATATTTTTTACTATTTACTTGAAGATTTTTAACTGAATACAATAGGAACTCGGTTTTAGAGCAAAGGACATATGAAATAAATAAAAATAAAACACAGAGCAGTTATTCATCAAGTACGAAGTGTGTATTCATACAGTCTTTCAGTTGGGACTGGCCCTTTAAGGGGCAACAACAACACTGAACAGACCCCCGGTGAAAATGAATTTGACGGTAAATTTACTGAGCTGCATTTATGCAGATCTGCCAGTAGGTGCTGCTGTCACTTCACCAGTGAGGGATGGGGAGTGTACACGCTGTGGTGTTGGTGTCAGAGGACACAAAAGACACAGAGATGGACGGAGACAACAGACGTCTTTGGCTTTAAATAAAGACTGGATTATATTTCCGGCTGCAGCCATGACAACAGCAGAGAAAACTGATGGAGAAGGCTGATTTTAATCACTGTATATGTAGTAATCCCACCCCTTAAGAACGATGATGTACATTAATTACTATTTTGACAAAAATGCAAATTCTCTGGTCATTCTGAAGCAGCCATGTCAAGGAACAAACTCAGGGGCCAAACCAATCACGTTGTCTTATTCACAGTTCTTTTTGTTCTCATTCGAATGTTGAAGCAAATTTCTTTCTTTCTTTCTTTCTTTTGTTTTTCATTTTCTTCTCATTAATGCCACTGCTGGAGACATTTGGTGCTTTTATGATCAAACATAGATGTGTAAGAATATCTTTTTCTGTTGTAATTATTCTGTAATATTTTCCTTTGGATCCAACCGTCACAAATGCAGTATTTTATTTTTATAAATATAAATTTTCAGGTATTTTGAAAAACCAATCATAGAGAAGCTCAGATAACGGTCAAATTTGACGTGGACAGTGAAAGTGTTTTCTAAACCAGTAGAGTGTATTTGGTAGTAGTATTTGTAGTATTAATATACTTCCTTCTGGTGATTTATAAAGAGTAATAATGTATATTAGTGAGAGTGAAGCTGTATTTTATCGAACAAAGACACTGAGCTCAGGTGAAGACGTCGACCGGCAGCCTTCCAGCTCCGCTCTGTTTACCTCAGCTGACAGGTGGAGCAGCTCCATCACTGCAGGCTCTGCCTCCGTCACATGTCAATCTCCTGCTCCGTCTCCACTGCACTCAACAACAACAAACTGCTTAAAACCAGGCTCTGGCCACAGCACCACCTGCACCCTGAAGGAGAGCCTGGATACAGGACTGAGAAGTTCTTTTGACTTCAAACTGAGAGGTAAATGGCCGGAAGTGTACGCTGGCAGTCCCTGCTTTATAAAGTCAGTGGAACCAAGCTGCTGAAAGGACCAGGAAAAATCTCACTCCATGGTTTTAACTAAATGTCCTTAAATGTTTAAGATTTCAACCAATCACTGAAGACATGAGGAGTAAGTGTGGGATGGTTCCTGCCTGCCATACAGAGGTTTAGGGTTCAATACCTCCCTACTGAGAAAAGACATTTAATGTCTGTCTCATGTTTGAAGTTTTGTCCTACGTTTAACACTATACAGACAATAATTAATTAGCACAGTGGTTTTCACCCCCCCCCCAACCCAACGTCAACATTCACAGCTGTAATTCCTACAAAACTGCTCTTCTCTTTGATCAAATGAAATAATAATAATAAAAAACAACAACAAATCAGAGCAGTTTGTCTCACTGGGACATAAATTGTTTGCCTGTGCCACCCAGGGGGTCCCATCTCCTATTTTGGGAACCACTGCTTTAGCATTTGTTCAATTATTACCATACATTCTGTGGTAGCAGAAAGCAATGAACAATAACTAAGTAAGGACAAGTCAGTCTGCTAACTTTAATGTTAATGTTAGTACTTTAATGTACTTCATCAGATACTGTACCCAAACAGAACCCTGGCTAGTGACTCCGTAGGTTCATGGTGGTGACCTACAGTACTTTTTCCTACAGTACCAGAGCATGTGGTACATGTGACATTCACATCATATTACCTTTTGTTTGGACCGTAGTGAAGAGGTAGGAGAAATTCCTCTTCATCGAGGTTTCACCTCCACTTTTTCACTGATCCTCTTCTCCTCCTCTTCTCCTCCTCTCTGCTGTGCCTGGTGGGCATCGTCCCCACCAAGGACTGAAACACTATCACAACAGGATGTGGGCTGGGATAACAGTGAGTGCTTCCTCTGCAGTGTCAGCCACCTGGGACTTTCTTCAATTATCACTGCATTTGAATGGAAAACACGAGTCTGAGCAGTGGACCAGGTCTGAAAGAACCAGGAGAGGAACATGGGCTGGGGACTATATATGGTTATATGTTTTATATATATATATATATATACAGTACATATAGACTATATATACATATATATCACATTAACTTATATATGTATATGTTTATACATACGCGACCTGCGTTCACTGTCGGCTCATTTGACCAGTTATTCCTCACAGCAGCAAAGTTCTCTTTTTTTGTCGACTTTTCTAACTCGACCTGAGCTTCAGGAAACACACATCACACTGAAACCTGTGTAAATTGGAAAATGGTCCCTGGCTGCCAGCATTAAAAATTCAGATCCATATTTCATTAAAGCCAATGATGTCTATCAGCTGGCACAGCAAGTCCAAAAATGAGGCTGAAGAATTGAACAGCGCTGCACCTTTAGCTAGTCACCGGGAGTGTACGGTGCAGACAGAATATTGATTGTGATAAAAAAAACAAAAACATTTTCAAACTTGCCAATGCCAGTATACAAAGAGCACTGGTGCTTATTTGAATACAATGCAATGCAGTGCAGTACGGTACGGTATGGTACAGTAAAGGCATGTTGATTAAGCTCTTTCACACTGGTGTATGAACACAGTAATTACTTTAACAAGGCTTAAGAAACACTGAGCGTTATNGGCGGGCAGATTATAAAACATCTACAAAGTCATGTCAAAGTCATTTTGGATCACGGGCTGCACACAACCTAATTAGATGTTAAGTGGGCCAGACCCACTACAATCACATCATAACAAATGATTAATTAAGTCCATGTTTTTATTTTAAGAACTACAATTACATGTATATTTATTAATATTATTATTTGTTCATATTTAATGAAATAATTATTTTATATAATTTCTTTTCTCAAAATTCATCAAGCGGGGCAGATTGAACACCGTAGCAGGCCGGTTTTGAGGGCCAGATTGAACACCGTAGCGGGCCGCTTTTGACCCGCATGCCGTATGTTTGACACCCCTGATCTACTCAGTCATTGAAACTGTGACACTCCAGAGAAACACATATATAACAAATATGGGAAGAGAACCCCTGACACAGTCAGTTTTGCATAATTTTTCCTCTTTAGGATGGAAACAAATGTAAAATGCTGCTGTCGGAGATTGGTGGAGGAGCAGGGAAAATTTAGAACTTCAGATTTATGAGGACCAGACACAGGGAGACGCACAGAAGTGTCCACTTCAGACAGGAAGACGTCGATTTATACTTCATGGTGAAATAGCAGAAATCTGGTTTCTGTCTGCGGCCGTCTGTGTCCTGATGATGGACCGGGGTTCTCCTCAGACATTAGACTGGATTAACAGGGTTTTTTCTGTTTTTTAGTTGTGAATGTACTGTTGATAAATGAGGGCCTTGAGCAGCAGCGCTGGTTGACTGCAGCATTGTTCTGCTCACATATGAGACAGTGTAATGATTACTGCCACATTAATGAAACACCCATCATTTCATCATCCGTGACTCATCCATCATCACCTCCTCCAGGAGTGATAGATCTCCTGCTGCACTTCTCTGAAGCTTTTTGGTCTTTCCTTTTTTTTCTAGTCGAAGTGAGAAAGTGAGGTTTGGAAGGTAATAAACAGAAGGTTCCGGACCGTGTGGAAAGAAAAAGGTCAGATTTGAATTCTGGATTCATCCTTGTTATAAGTCCTGAAAAAATTAACTAGTTAATTATCTTGGGAAATTAACCAGATTGAACGGAGCCTAATGCATGGACAGAATGATGGACATCCAATAATACCAACAACCATCCACTGACGTCATATACTCTCATATAAACACACACTGTAGGAACGAGTTTTAGTTTCACTGAATCACCTCCAGCTTCAAATCCCATCATTTGGATTAGTCAGGGGAGAAAGAAAAAACGTGAGAAACACTGACCTCTACCTGCTTCAGGGCAGAATTTTCGACCTCAGTTTCATGTCATCCAATAAAAATAAAATATTGATTAAAAACACATTCACACCACAAATAAAACGACAAGAAATATTCAGCGCAGTATTTTTTCTCCTTTAACCTCAGAAGAGCTGTGAGTTAATTATGACAGATTAGCGACATCAACAGGAGCAGCAGGTCAATAGTTAGAGCCCCATGTGCAGCTGGGCGTTTGTTGTGAAATAACTCTGATCAATAAACTTGGTACGCTTCAGCTACGAGGCAAGTACACGTCTCTGACATGATTACTCTGAAAGTTGCTGGGAGTAAAGTTGGTGAATATCTGTAGTATAATATATGCTGTAGCTGTAGAGGTGAAGACAGGAAGTTCAACTAACAGAGAAATACAGCAGGGACCTGCTACTATACCTACTTAATACTGTATATTCATTAAAATGTATTTTTGTTTTGTATTAGTATTTTGGAGCATTTGTGGTCCGATGTCCTGACAGTTTATCATACATGGCAGAAAGGCATACACCACCTTACTGCTCATGTGCACTAAAAAAAGAAGTTTATTTTGCCTGTCAGAATACGATGTGTTTTTTTAAGCACTCATGGTTTGTCTTATTTACATGATGTGGGCTGAGCTCTGATTGGTCCATTGCAATTTAAAGGTAAAGGCACAGAAAGCAGACGTTCAGAACAGAACTGGTGTAGAGAATCGAACTGTGACCAAACAGTTGGTTCATGTTCGACCAAAACAAGTTACTGTATGTTGTATATCAAGAAAACGTACAAATTGGTCTGCAGTTGAACACGACTTCTGTTCAGGAGAGACTGATGTGGATGGATACAGTACTATAGTAAGTGCAGTACTTTGCTATTGACTGAGGAAATAAAAGCTAAACTTTACTTCAAATTTAGAGCAAACATAAGTTAGAAGCCAGTGAGAGTCGACACTGCACTTAACATCGAGTCCATCACAAACATCCCGTCTCCCACTCTGAAGTCTAAAAATGGCTGCCTGTGTTAGATAGATTCCAACACAACAAACGCCCATTAGGGGCAGATGTTCATCTTCGGCAGCAGCTGAAATAAATCTAAAAATGTTGACCTGTCCCAGTGATGGAGGGCTGATAAACAACCGACCAATGATCTGCAGAATATCAAGGCCAAATAAAGACGTTCAGATTTCTATGTGAAAAGTGCGCGTGGATTTTTATGAATTATTTGTGAAGAACAGCCTCATTTAATGCCTCATTTACCCAGAGTGCATCAGCTTTTTGTAAACTCTAAATGAAATCTTCATCAACGTCGTGACCTATTTTTCAGACGAGATCCAACATAAAGAACACGTTACCATTCATTAACTACCATTCAGCTAATGTTGTGTTCCTCACCTACATCGTTCATTAGACTGTTAGCACAAGTTTAGCTGAGAATTTTGGACCAACTGTGATTCGTACCCAGAACATAGCAACCATTTCAACTCCCCATTGCAAGCCGGGCTGCAGAGGCACAAAACAAAAAAAGACCAGACAAGTTTAGCTGAGAATTTTGGACCAAATATATTCTCAACTGTGATTCGTACCCAGAACATAGCAACCAGACCGACTGTCCAACAGGGGGCCACACACCGCCAACCACCCTCCACTAATGAATAATGGGATCATGTTTTTCTGACTATTTCTTTGACTCTACAGTCACATGGTCACCTGCATCACGGAGCATCAGAACTCAGAGAAATGAGCTGTGAGATTACAGTGGAAGCACAGAGCCATTAAAAAGCCATTTAGCAGACAGCTCCCTGTGCAGCAGCGGGGTAATGAACAGGGCTCGGCTGAAGAGCTTCCTCTCTCAGGACATTTACTGCTTCCACCGAGAAAACAAATATTATCTAAGATTCACTTCAGGTGGACAGCAGCTCGGTGTCTGACAGACGACGAAGCTCCGTTAGTATCTCTGACTGAAGTGGGTTTAAAAAAAAAACACGCAACGTAATCAACACTCCCTGATAATATTCTTAAAAATATTTTTCGATTGGCTGTGGTTTAAAAAATAAATAGTGGTTTTGTGGGTATCTCTTTTATCAAACAGCTACATTTGACACAAAGTTAATTTTTGTTGACTTTATGTTTTATCAGTACTTGATCAGTACTGTCTACTACATTCACAGATGAGTACTAGCTGTGATATTTGACATGCGAGGACTCACCTGTGAAATCGACGCTAATGGACTGAAAGTCTCGTTGACCACTGACGACGTCTTTGATCTTTGCAGTCATTAATAAAAAAAGCAATTTGCAATCATCTGTATTCAGTGAAATGGACACAATATTAGTGTCATTTCGGACTATTGAGCCCACCTGGAAATAAGCTGCACTTCTCGTAGCTTATAGAGAAGTGTCCACGTTGTAACAAGGGATATTTACACAGAAAGATTTTTTTTACATTTAATTAAATAAATGCTTTTTTTCAGAACAGTGGCTGGTTAGACGTCAGCTCCTTCCTGCTTCGACTCATAATCCTTAATCCATAAATAAGCTGCATCGCTGTTTAAAACGTGTGAAAACAGTAGCAGCTTACAGTTTTACGGTATGTTGTAGCTGTAAAAATGAGCATTACTGCCCCCTAGTGGGATGGAGTGTCCTATGAAGTTCGACCTAAACTTCTAGAACTCCAGCTGGTTCTGCTGAACTGTTGTTGTTGTTCCAGAACATCTGTGTTCCCCGTTCCTCCCCCAGGCCTCTGACCTGTTTTCACACGATCTCCCCCTCCCTCAGCTCCATCACTGGGACTTACATCTGAACAAGTTTGGGGGGGTGGGGTCTGTTCTCCCACTCTAAACACACTTTCACTCTCTCAAAGATCTACATCAAAAATCCCCTTCATTTCAACTTTAATGAGTTTTTTTCATCTAATGTAGCCAGAAGGTGGTGCTACTGGCACTGACATGAGGCAGAAACAGTTGAAAAACAGACTTACATTCACAGAGGGGCCTCATGGTGGACAGTGGTTGGAACTCCTGGTTCACAGCAAGAAGGTCACTGTGTGGCTGGTTCGATTCCAGGTCGTTTTGTGCAGAGTCAGACCATGATGGCTGGATGGATGTGACATTTCGTTTATTTACTGTAGGTGGAGACAAAGAGCCAGCGTGTTAAATACAGCACTGAACGAGCATGAAGGATGGGGGTGAGGAGAACTCACCCCGGGACACCATCCATGCAATTAAAAAGAAATGAGAAAATAAAATGGATCAGTGACAACAGTGGTGACAACACGACCACAGGCCACTTCACACAAAGACAGAACAGCACCAACAGTGTCCACTCTCTGGGACAGATGTCAACACCAAATATAATATAATCATATTTTATATATATATATATAAATATATATATATATATATTTGTATATATGTATATACAGTATATATATTTATAGACGAGAATTTGGATTTGTGGATTTAAAGCTTTCATAATTCTGATCATTCTACCGTCAACTGTAAAATCTTGGCCCAAACTGGCCCTCGACCCAGGGGTTTGAGAACCCTGACCTAAACAATGCCTGAGGCACACACACAGTACACAGTAGTGGGGTGTTCATAGCAGGTGGTAATTTCCAGTGCCCCCACCGTGCTGTGCTACAACTCCAAGGAATCAACATATTCACGGGTTTACAAAGATGATGTGATTGGATCCTCAAGGTCCGTCTAACCTTGAAAAAACAACATGTTACTGCTGAAGTGGAACACAGCTACACCCAGTGGACTTCAGGGGTAAAGGTGCAGCCCGACACATTAAAGGGAAAGAACAAGTCATTTTCCATTGGTGGCAGAAATCTCATTCCTCACTTCCTTCACTGAACAAACAGTCAGTTATCTGTGAACAGATCGGTGCTAAACTGTTTTCATTGGTTTAGATAGCAGCGTTCTACAGAACAACTGCAGTACTACACGTATTTACTGTGTACATTTACTGTTTGTTCTGGGCTGTTAAAATGTTAAATATGTGCAGAGGATCTTTCAGTATATTGTGACTCAACTTAAATCTGAGTAAATATATTTTGGTTTTATTAACTTTGATGATTTGGTTTGATATTTTAAAGTCAATTTCACAGTTAGGACACATCAAACATCAGATTTGCTATTTTTGTTGTGTAATAAACCCATTCGACCAGTTCTCCTGGTAAATAATCCTGTTTTTTTATACTAAATAATATGAATAATAATAATAACCGTGACAGTGACTTTTCTCCATATTTCAGCCGCTGCGACACCTACTTCTTCAGAATTCCGTGTGACTCGACTGCTGCAGCCTGACGCTCGGACCTGAAACGGCAGCTGAGATCCAGCTGACGTGAACTCAACATCTGGCCGTGCCACGCCATTGGTTCAGCTGTCAGCCAGGTAAAAACCACGTTTCCATCATCCAGTCGAGCGTTGAACATCTGTGGCTGTGAGACGCCGTGATGTTGAAGAAAAAACACCTTACATTATTTTACAGAAAATACTGCGATCATTCCATCAACATCACCCTCCGTGACTCATCGTACCACTGCAGTACCGACAGGGTATCGCAGCCCGGGGCAGTGGATGGTGATGGACCACAGCTACCACTAGGCTGGAAACCAAACATGTTCCTGGAATTTCCTGCTCCAGTGTGTCCAGTGTTGATCCCAGATCTGGACTGAAGGTAGAAACTCATTATTGACTGGGAATATTAACAATATTAATCAGAATAAATGAGTGGGAACAGAAAGAAAACACAAATGTGATTTAACAGGAGTAATCAACGCAACTTGTCATCATATGTATGGTGTGTGTATATATAACTTGTCATCATATGTATGGTGTGTGTGTGTATATATATTAGATAAATATATTTATACACATATATTTGTGTATATATATTTATACAGAATGTATGTACATGTGTGTATATACTTACATGGTATAATGTACTATATATATATATGAATATACTATATTAACACATATTTACACAGTATATAAATATATGAACATATATCTGTACATGTATGTACATATCCTTCTGTAGTGACTGAACGACTAACAACAATATTAACATGAAAACGTCCAGAACATCATCACCGTCATCAGCTCCACAGCGCCATCATATCACAAGGACATGTAACAAAATATGATTTTTGGTGATCTCGTACCAGTACCAGTGTACCTTCTTTTGTTCCCCATGCATAGTGGCTCAACACTTGGCATGCGTGACGTAAAGCGGCCCTTGGGAGAGACTAATTGGGCACCGCCGGCGTAAAGACCGCATTCCAGGAATGTTTCACTGGGATCATGTGCCAGCAGGGAACACAGTATTCTGGAACATTCCGCTCACCACTCTCTGATGGCACCAGTATTTGGATCTTTAATCTAAAATGACGCCTCTAACATTTTATGACTTCACACTTGTTCACTGGTTCTTTGAACAGGTGTGAGTTAAACTTCCAGACTGTTGTAGTTAAGGATTGAGTTGTTGATCGTCATCACGTGCACGTCCTCCTGTGGGGACGTGGTCGTTCTGTGTTTGGGGGATATTTGCAGCAGACGCGGTCTAACGGCGCCACCATCAGGGGTTTGATCTGCAGGCTGCGGCCGAGCTGCTCCATCCGTTTGAAACTGTGATGACGACAGTCACGCTCCATCTGTCCCGTGCGCTATGTTATTTTTGGAGGATTGTTAACTGGAGTCTGGAGTCAGAATAATGAGGCCCAGGTTTCTGTAAATTATCAGCAAATTATAGAGGAATCCTCGTCGACCTTTTCCTCAAATCAGTCTGTGTTTAAAAAGAAAGTTTGATGATTTCCATGTTGTTCAGGGACAGGATGATGAAAGGAGGCCAGCGCTGCTGTGGTGTGGTGTTTCCTCCTAGAAGTCTCGGAGGATTGTTAACTGGAGTCTGGAGTCAGAATAATGAGGCCCAGGTTTCTGTAAATTATCAGCAAATTATAGAGGAATCCTCGTCGACCTTTTCCTCAAATCAGTCTGTGTTTAAAAAGAAAGTTTGATGATTTCCATGTTGTTCAGGGACAGGATGATGAAAGGAGGCCAGCGCTGCTGTGGTGTGGTGTTACCTCCTAGAAGTCTCTGTCATCCTGGGATTTTTTTTTTTTTTGCAAAGATGAAGGAAAAGGTCATTTGATCAGCGTCCCTCCATTAGCCTAATTGATCATTATTCTTTGTGTTTTTGTTCAAAAATGCAACAAAAATCAATAGATGTGTGCGTGGGAAACATGAGGAGTGTAAGTACTGGGTATCTCATCTTTTGCATTAAAATAAAAGACAGAGATGATAAAGATATGGATCAGATTAAATATTCCACCAACAATCGATACGCTTCTTCAGACTTCTGCCCCGAGCAGGAGCAGGACGTTAGCATCGTTAGCATACCATTGACCTGAGTGGATCACATGAATATTATGGTAATGACTCTCCGGAGCTCACAGAGCAGTTTATCACGGGGGGAGGAGGAGGATGGTGAGGGGGGGGGGGGTGTCTGCCTGTCTATTCATACTCTTCAGATGCAGTACACAACACCGACCACATGTAAACAAACCAACAGTAAAACCTTAGTGCTGGACCTGAGGGACCTGACCGGTCCACAAAGAACTGAACAGTGAGGAGATCTCACCCACTCTTCACCCACCCACCCACTTCAGTTTCCCACCATCAAAGAGTCGGTTCTCCGTCCAGGACCGTAAAGGTCGGGGAACGTGCTCAGACTTTAACTCACCCTTTTCTCTACCTCCCAGTTTGGACCTAATTAAAACAAGGGTGATTAATAGATGAGAGATTGTTGTGGAAAACCTGGGGTCCCAGGGAAGACCCCCGGTCTCAGATGTGTAATGTGAAGGCTTAATGTTCTGTACGTCGGGGCTCGGAACAGTGAACCAGGGAAAAGTATAAAATTCTTGGCAGTTTCCTCACAGCCGGGGGAAAAGACATTATTTCTAAAGGTTATTAGAGTCGGAACAAAAATGATGTGAATTATTTCAATATTTGGGTTAATGTATGGGCTGGAGAGGAACTGTCCGTCCCCAGAAACAGAGACAGCGGGTGGCCGCCGCCAGCGTGACAGAGGCCTGAGAAGATGATCAGAGCATCGTAGGGCGTTAAATTAGGGTCAACTTTCACCAAACACAAGAGCACACACTGATGGAGGATCAGACACCTGCAGCACAGACACAGCATCAGAGGATCTGTATTTACTTACACCTCAAACTACATCAGTTCCATCTACTGTGCATTAACTTAAACGTCCACAGAGCAGTGACACATCCAACCGTGTCACTGCTTCACCTCACAGTTCCTTCCTCTGAGCGCGCGCGCACACACACACACACACACACACACCCACACACACACGCAGACATGAGGACTAAAACGCACACTTTAACAAAAGATCTGCTAAATGTGGCTCTCCATCACTTCTGCCATCCCACTGGTGCCAGGATTCAGCTGTTGCCACAGAACCTCCCCCCCCCGAGCCCAGTGTGAAGCCTTCTCAGAATCAACAATGTCAACACAGCCACACACAGAGACTTCACATTTCCAGAAAAATCACAGCAGCACAAAACTCCACATTAATGTCATTTAAGGCTGTGTGTGTGTGTGTGTGTGTGTGTGTGTTTAGACCTTCAGAGTTCTCTAGCCTCTGGTTGTTAGGCTCGTGGACTTGGCAGTTTATTTTGTCTGTTTCGGCAGGTCACTCAATTTCTGTTCTGTTCTATTGTTGCTCTTTAACGTTCAGTCATGTGACCAGCCACGAGAAAATGGGGAACAAGTCTAACAAAGATCAGTCTAAGTCTAAACTTCTGGAAGCATTTTGGTACAAATAAGAATAATTTAAAAAAAGCAGCTCTCATTTTGGCTGACTGATCATGTTGCTCAACACAATTTGCAATGTTCGGGTTAGCGTTAGCGTTAGCAGCTTACCTGTTGTTATCCTCTTTGAACTGGGCATGCTCAGCTGGATGCTTCCAAGCTAATGACACGTTAGCTCTGCTAGCTCCTGTTCTCCTAAACAGAATGCAGGGGCAAAATTCAGCATTCAGTCTGCAGAACTGGAAGCTGAAACAGCTGATTTTGATCAGTGGGGAGGTGACGGAGGGGTGTGTGTGTGTGTGTGTGTGTGTGGGTGTGGGAAGGGGGTGGGGGGGCGGTCAATCGGTTCACCTCTGGACAAACAGCTCTGTCTGTGGACTTTGTAGACTTTAACCCAAGATTACATTCTGTTCTGCAGGAGTTTGTTTTAACACTGATTAGAATGACGCTGCCTCTCCAACCTTCAGTAACTGAGGCCACTCACGCTGACACACAGGTACAGATGGGCACGATTATATCTGTTATGAAATTTGACGAGCCCCTGCAGGTCGAAGGAGGGAGTGTCCGCCTTCGGTCGTGTTAATGGAGTTATTGATCATCCTATAAGGAAAAACGACTGTTTCTGTCGGAGCACAAATGCATTTAGAACACTTCACTCAGCCTAGACACAACACAACCTCCACCATCACGCTGACCCCTGCTGGAGATATCTGAGTTGACTCCTCTCCACCTCCTGAGGTACCAGCATTTACTTTCAAGGTTGACTTAACCCCTTCCTCCCCTCGGTGTGGAACACCCTCTCTGCTGTGAGAGACGCTTAATGAGCCACCAACATCAAAATGGTCGACTAATTATACACAGAGGACGGTGGTGGAATCACTCAGCAAACACCCCCCCCACAGGGCTTTGGGGTTAATTTATCTTGATTGCACATGTTCATTAGTGAAAGTATTAAAGAGGTCCAGGTTTCATCTGTTCCAAATGAAAACATGATAAAGAATCAAGTTATTAGTTATAAACATCCATCTTCAACAGCTATAATGGAAAGGGTGGGGGGGGGGTCGAACCAGGTGAGAAAACATGTCCAACTGTGAAAGTGGTGGGGAAAACGTGTACATAAGTTAGCACAAAAAAAAATAAAAAAATCTGTTACGTTGTTGGCGTCAAGTCCAAATATATATTTGATCAAACCTTGTAGAACCAGATCTGTCTGAGGACTTTTTGACTGTGAACCTGACACACACTGGACTGGGAGTGACTCACTCCTCCATGATTCTCCTCAGACTTGGACTCTGAAGTCCAGATGAAGCCCCTGTGGGAAAGCCAAAGCCGTGGTTTTCCCACAGGTTCTACAGTGAAACCCCGACGTCTTAAAGATCGACGTGTTCCGCGGGAGGACGCCGCCGTCCATTTAACTGTCAGCTGGAGTCAGAACGTCAGGTGCTGGAGTTCCTGTTAGAAACTGTTCACAACAAGAACCCTGCAGCCACATTAGAAAAATCACTAAATCGGTCCCTGGTCTGCGGCTCCTCACTGGTATCGACAGGCTGTAAATGAACCTCTGTGTTCCAAATGTGGACGAGGCCAAGGCTGTGGAGAGTTAAGTACAGCACCACAGAGCGAGACAAAGATCGGAAAAGGTGACCACGTCTGACAAACGCGGCAACATCGATGACGACCCCAGCTCCTGGTGTCGACGTCAGCTCCTGGTGTCCAGATGTAAAGACTTTGTTGTTTGGTTTTTCCTCTGAACGGGAGTGTTGTTTATGAAGTTGACACTATTTTTGATAAAGATCTTAAAGTAGAATTCATGTATTTTTTTCAAGATGTGAAAGTACTAATTGATTAACAAAATGGTTTTATGTACTTTTTTAAAAAAAAAAAAAAAAGTTTTATACTTTAATCAAACGGCAGCCCCAGACCACTGAAGTGGTCACTTTGTTTTTTTTTTTTAGATTGGACCAATGTTTAGGTGTCAAGTGCAGCGCAGACGATCTAATGTTATCACCCTGAAAAACTTCATTCAGACTGTGAAACCTATCAGCTTTGTATCTATAATTAGACAGTATAACTTGAGGGTAAAGTTAAGAGGTAATTACTCCAGACAGCGGCCGGGGCAGTGCTCTGAGACTGGATCCATCAGGAAGCAGAAGGCTGTAGAGGAAACGTGAGCT